AAGGCCCCCAGTGCCCCCCCCAATCCCTGCCGGCCAAGGCCCCCAGTACCCCCCCACATTTGCCCCCCCAATCCCTGCCGGCCAAGGCCTCCAGTGCGCTCCCCCCAACTAAGCCCCCCAGCACTTCCCCTCCGCTCTCTGCCGGCCAAGTCCCTCCTCCCCGCACCTGTACACGAAGGCGGTGGCCAGCGCACACAGGATACTGCCGAAGAGGAGGGGCTTTGCCAGCCGCTTCCGCGCCGACATACGGCCCGCCATAACGGCCAGCAGCGGGGCACCGCTACAAGCCTCGGAGCCTCCCGCCCTCCGCCAACGTCACGTCCGGCCCCGCTCTCAGTATTTCCGCCCTTCTTTCAGGTTTTCCCTCTACGTCATTTCCGCCCCGTTGCCTGGGTCGCCTTGTCTATGCCCCGTGTGGTGCTAGGAGCGGTTAGTGACGCCGCGGGGCGCGCTGCGCGTGAGGGCAGGCCGCGGGGGTGGCTGGAGTGACAGGGCTGCAGCGCGAGGGGCCTGGGTAGCAGCGCAGTAGGTCCCGTCCCGGGCCCCTGCCCGCCTAGCCTGTGCCCTGCCGCGCTGCTGGGCTGAGAGCTGCGCCCCACAGGCCCCGACCCCCCACTGCTGGCGTCCTCGGCGGTGTAAGCCCCGAGCTGGATTGTAAAGCCGGCGGGCCCTCCTATAACCCGGCCAGGAGGCGCCTGGATGGTAACCTGGACCACGCACAGTGTTGCTCGCTCTTCTGATTTTCAGTGGGAGTCTTGCAATAACTGGAGTTAAGGGTTCTTAAAGCCCCAGCTCCTGGAGTCCTGCGACTAGGTGAGAATCTTTCATTTTAAAAAAAGTCAGGTTCTATCCCTTGTGGTGGAGAAAAGCATGAACATCTGATCCAGTGCAGCCTAAGGTTCAGAAACCTCACGGCAAATAGAAAGAAACAAAAATGTATTATTTTCTTTGCAAATCTTGTGTTTTTTAAACCAGTCTCATTATTTTGTGCACCATGACTCTCAATTTTTGAATGTTTGGGATTGGCAATAGTGCATTTTAAGCATAGAGGGCGCTTCTGCCCCATTCAAACTGGCCTCATCTACTGTAGGAAAATCACCATAACAAATTCACCAAAGGTTGCAATGATGGAAACTGTAGTGTAGGTGAGGATCAGGGGTTTTTACCAGCATTCATCTAGCCCTACTCAGAAAAGGCTTAGAAGACACTACAGTAAAAACACTCATGGGTAGTCTATGATACCACTAATGGAGCTGCACCAATGCTAGATCAAACATGGGACAATTGTCAATGATTCTCAGTGCAGATAAGGCATGTTTAAATCCCGTTATAGCTAGCATGGTTCTGATCCAAACATGGACAGGGCCTGAGCTTGTAATACTGCCACTTGCAGTTCCCTCAGTGAGTCTGAAGGGAGGGAAAAGAAAATCAATTGAATATTCTACACTTGTTAGAATGTTATTATTAACCTTGCAGTGAAACTGGGGCCATTCAGACATTGTGAACAAAACTTAATTTTCTCTCTCTAGCACCATGTCTCAAAAGCAGCGGGATCTGCTGGAACTGGGGCGGCTTGAATACTTACAAGCGCTGGTCACTGAGTTCCAGGTAACAGAGAGTCCAGGTGAGCTTATAATTTTTTTCTTTTTATTAAAGTATATTCCAAATGTCAGGATCATAACTGGCTCATCAGTTGCTGGTTGATTTTTTTCCTTCAGGAATTAGACTGCCCAGCCCACTTCAGCTGCCTCTTTCTTCACCTAAATGCTGCTTATGTATTGCAGAAGCCAAGGAGCAAGTATTGGCTAATCTAGCCAACTTCGCCTACGATCCCAAGAACTATGAATATCTCCGACAGCTTCAAGTCCTTGACCTGTTCCTGGATATGCTCACAGAGGACAATGAGATCCTTGTGGAGTTTGCAATTGGTAAGGAGTGGATTTAAAACTATTTGTAAAATGAACAATAGTAGTTCCAAGCACTGGTTGGATACTGATGGGTCAGGGGATGCTAGCCTCGCTGCTTTGATTCTGTAGTCCACTTGAATTTGGGAGAGAGGATCAACCACACATGACAAACTATCTGTGACAGATGTTGATCAAACTGCTTAATGCACTACTGGAAGGGCCTCAGATTTAAAATTTTTATTAAAGTTAATGTTTATAATGAAATATACATGAGTTAAGAGGCAAGGTACTGTACATCTGGGGTCAGGCTTGGGTTATGGGGGGTTACAGGTATCGTTTTCAAGGATGAGAAGATACATACATATCACATAACCTGCATAGACCCAGATTGGGGTGCAAGGGTTTTTAAAGTGTCAGTGGATAAGTGGGCTCGGGTACGCCACCCATGGAACGAATAAGGAGTCCGAGTCAGTATCGGTGTAGCGGATAAGTACATGGGTGGGGCACGTCCCTTGGTCCTTCAGGGAAGGAAGTGGGTTATTTCCCTGCTCGGCAGTCTCGGTTACTCAATGCGATATTGACAATGTCCTGTGATGTGACAGTGATGAGGGCAGTATAAAAACCTATATAGAATAGAATAGCTGGAACAGGTGAGAGACATCAGGCTAGGAGCTTGAGGTGAATTATTTCACATTAAGACAAGTCTCCCCTTCACTCCACTAACATGCTGCAGTGCTGAAAAATAAACAAACTTACTTTCTAAGACTAGGTAAAACCCGGGATATTGGAACAAAAAATCTAGTTTAATGATAATTTTTAACCCACATCCCTACTGTAATGATACAGTCATTGAGAACAACTAAGGTTTTGCCATAGAGCATGAGCAAGTCCAATATTGTGTTACTGTTATTGACAGTTAATCCTCTAAAAGGACCTGTTCTAAATAATATAATGAAGTCTTCTGAGGAATCCCATTAGAGCCAATCAGCGTGGATTCAATACAAACTGGGAGCCAGACATGCCAAATTCAAATCCTGAATGGTTAGCAGGGTTAGATGATGTGATGGTTGAATACACATAGCCTTGTGTACTTACTACAGCTTCCACTAGCAGAGCTGCACTGGGGATGTCATCGATCAAAATGTGGCTAGTATGGCTGCACCCTAAGTGCAAAGCGTTGTTAGTACAGGATACATATTAGTATTTGCACCAAGTAATAGAAATCATATTTACAATATCTTAATTAGTATTAATAATGCCATGCTACTTCTATTAGCACCTCTCATAACTAATTAAAATCTCGCTATACCCCCTGTGCTGTACAGAAGGTATTTCTAGGAATCTCTCACTCTTTACTGGATTGTAGCCACCTCAGAGATGAAATAAGGCATTTCCTTAACAGAAAACCAAGTCTTTTAACCCCACTCTTGAAAAATTTAAATGGATTTTTAAATGACAAGTTCTGTGTTTGTTTAATCTCCTATGAAAGATGTTACCTCTAAGAGCATAGCGCCCCCTAATGTCATATAGGGGAATGAGTGCTTTGGTTGAAAAATCACCTTGAGGAAGGAAGGACAGACTTTTGAGAATAAACTTATTCCGGGAGCAGGGTGGACAGTTTTCCAACTACTATAAAAATATTCTGGCCAGTTGATTCTATGTGGGGACAAGGGTCTCAGTGAAGTGCAAACCAGTATTTTGTTTCCGGTATTGTATGTACTTTATATACCAGTAATGAGCACATTAAATTGGGTGGAATTCACACCTGTAGTTAGTTCAGTGCAAGTCTGTGTATGGACACACTTAGTTCACAAGAGCGTACTATTGTGATATAACATAAGTAGGTTGTTTTTCTTTTTAAAGAAAACTGTGTTAGACTTGCTCTGAACTAACTAAAGGCATGAACGGCAACGATCAATTATTTTGATCTTAGTTACTGTGTGGACAAGCCCTAAGAAAGAGTTGAGGATCCTGGTTGCAGCAATGCCACTTGAACCTCAAAAAGGAGTTAGTTAGGTGTTGAGGGTGATCTAAGGTGGTGGTAGCTGGTGCCACACTCTCTCTCCTTTCTGTTTCAGGTGGTCTTTGTAATCTCTGTCTGGATAAAACAAACAAGGACTATATTTTGGAGGCAGATGGGGTGGCATCTGTAATAAACTGCTTATCCAGCTCAAATGAGGAGACAGTGATGTCGGCAGTCACTACTCTGATGTACTTGACCACACCACAGTCTCGCCAACAGACCACAGCATTCCCGGTGGTGGAGTGCATGTTACGTTTCTCCCTCTCAGCTAACAGGAGGCTAAGCAACCTAGCAAGGGTCTTCCTTGAGGATTATTGCTCTCCTGTGCAGGTGGAGGAGGCTAGGAACTTGAGCAAACATACAGCTGTAGGGATCCCGCTCCCAAAGGACTGATGTTATGCAGGGCAGATGGAGTAGTTTAAGATTATTATTGCGTGAGAATATTCTTGACTCCATCTTTAGAGCCCCCTCCACCTGCAGGATAGGTCAGGAGGCTGGTGAAAGTAGTGAAAGACATTCCTAAAATTCTGCCTCAGTTTGAAAGGGGCAGGTGGGGAGCCGGGACATGGGTCCAGAAGACAGGATTAGCAGCTAAACTGCTACAAAACAAATTATGGCTGTTAGAGAGCAGGACAAGTGACTCCTGAACCATCATCCAAATAACCATTTCTGATGTTACCATTTCCAGTGTGGTTGTCAGGTAATGTAAACCCAACACAATTCTTTTGCATCACCTTCACCCTAGCTGCAGCTATTGCTGCCCATCTTCTCAATTATAGCTTTGAAATATGTTTAAATCATATGTTCTTTATTTCTCAGTAGGAGAGAACGCACCTTCTTCCCCCTACAATTTGCAGTCTGATCACATACCTCAGGACTAAGTATGAGCCAGCATCCTCATACCACGGGCACCTGGCCAGTTAATTAGCTCTACTGATGTTAAATATCAATAGGAATAATATATTCACCACAACATAGCTGGTGGGAAAGATGCAGATTAAGATTTAAAAGGGAATACTAACAGCAGACTGCAGCTCAGAAGGATAACCAGTCTTGTAGTAGCTTTTGTAAAACTTACTCTGAATAAAACATTAAGTGTAGACAGTTCTGGATCAGACATTTACTGAGTATAGCATTTGCAACCCAAACCTTACCAGCTCACATTAATGCAGGAGAACCAGGAAGTGAAACTATCTACTTTCATTATGAGCCAAGCAGGGGAAAAAGTGGATGGGTGCTGAACAGCCAATCCGGTTTAGTATACGAGATTGTTAAACTGTTGAAAACAAGTTTTCCTTTCCTAACGTGACGGTGTCCCTCATACTTACAGCTTCAGTGAGTGGGACAGAGGGCAGAGTGCTTTCATGGAGTTTTACAGCCCTGCTTCCTCTTTCTAATTTCTTCATCCTCCCTTCCTGCCAACCCAAAACATTCTACCTAGCGTTATAAGCAGCTGCTCGTCTCTTGTCGAGTTTCTCCCTCCAAATAGTCTAAAGAAGATGCAAATCTTAAAAAATAAGCTTTGTATCTTTGGCCCTTAAAACTGCCCCTACCCAGGTCAGTGCGCTTCCTTTAAATGGGATTTCGTTGCCAGTTCCCAATTTGTCCGTTTCCATTGGCAATGAGACTAGCATAGCATTCTTTTTCCGCATTACTTCTGCGTTTGCTTTCCACTATCCCCCTCCAGTCATCGGCCCACGACTGCAGCCGCCTACGTGGGGTCTGAAGCTCTAGATGCTTGTTATGGCAGCAAGTGAACAAGATGTGTTCCCAGCTCGGCTCAGGCTCCGCACCTGAGAAGAGCCAGAATGGAAAGCTGAAGTTAATCATTCTTTCCCCCAAACAACAGTAAATCATCTGCTGTGAAATCTCCACCTCAAGTTTCCCAAACCTTTAATGGTGTCTTTGTCATCGAACAGGAGGTCAGCTGACACAACTGTTTTATCCCGGGTCAGAATCAGTCGCTCCACAAACTTAGGACCCAAGTGTTTTTCCACCCAGCTGTACTGTTGGGGAGGAAGTAGAGCATTAGAAGAATTTTACTTAGCAACAAGTTTGACTATTTATAGCATAGTGATCTCATGCTACAGGCCCAAATCTCTTCTAGGAGTGTTATGAACCCTGCAATTGGGCTGTGGTGCAGGACACTAAAAGGACCGATGTGAACTGTACTTGCAATGCCCTTCACTCATGACTGCACTGGGTACCATGAAGTTACACGGGTGTAAAGCAGCATGAGAGGAGAGTCAACCTATGGCATATACCAGGCCCTTCATTATCTAACCCCAAAGTACTTAAGTAACCCCTCTCTCCCTGCATTCCTGCCTGACAGTGATCATCTCTCGATTTAGTCAGGATTTTCTCACAGGAGCCTCTGGCATGCAGTCCCCTCCCAGTGCAGTGCATCAGACACCCCTTGGTTGCCTCTGGAGTATGCAGTGAGTCAAGCCTGCATCTACTTGACCATATTGCATCTGTTCTTTTACCCTCCCCCACTCTTCCCATGCCATTTCTTGCTACTGTGGGTATGAGTTGCTGAAAGTTGTTGTTTGTTTGTCTGGTTTGGTTTTTAAGTATTATATTCTGGCTTCCATTGCGTAAGACTCAGATGTCTTGCAAAAGGCATGACACAGTACTACTTCTGGCCTTTAATACTTCCTCTCAGTCTGAAAAGCTGCCACTCAGATGGAGTATTTTTGCATGCTGGGTCCTGCAGACTTCACAGGCTGCAGCTTGGCTTTGCACATATTGGTATGGTACTTGGGCACACACTAACAATTGAAAGGGGCTGGATTCTGCAATAGCAGTCTTAAAACGAGGGGGGAGGGGAGGAGATCACCAACCTTCTCCAGGATGCAGTGCTCATACTTCAGCAGGGGGCTCGTGCAAATAAAAACTTGAGTGCTAAAAAGAAACAGCCCTGATTAGTAGTCAAACACGGAGAATAGACAAGGACTGTGTACTGCAAAGTGTTCTTACTCCTGCGTATGGATCATTTCCTGCATGGCTTCAATGGCTCCTGGAATCGGCTCCAACCCCAGAAAGAAGCCAGGTGACTCATAGACACTCGCTACCTTAGCCTGGAAGAGAGAGGAGGAGAATTAGCAGTATTTTTTTTATTGTAGCTTTCTGCATAATAGCTATTGAATTTACCCCGGGGGTATTATTCAACATCAAAAGGACCTATTTTGTCCACATTTCAGAGGGAGACCAAGTGGCTGAGATAATTGGTAATGGGTCACAGTCTCACCCACTGGTTGCCAGGACAAATCCAGGCCAGGCAGCTAATGACTGAAAGTTGTTACCATCTGGTGGCCTGTGTGAAGTGAGTTGTTGGATCTCATTCCAGTTCCCAGTAGATATATATCCACCCAATTACACAAACAAACAAACATGCCACCAAATGAACACCCCAAAACACCACACCATGATAATTGGCACCCTCAGCAGAGGGGTCAAGGACAGACTGGGACACGGAGATTCAGTTATCCTCACGCTTTACAGTCGATCCTGCCAGACCACAACTGAAGCATACTGGAGGGAGGTTTGCTGTGTTGCTCTCCATGCTGTTGTGTATATGTGCTCTCTAAGGCCTCAAGCAACAAGATTAAAATGTCTAAGAGCAGATTCTGGCTTCAGTGCGACAGCTTCCCCACGGTGATAACCCCTCGGTCCTGGTGCCTGAGTTCCAGGCACAGAGATGAGCATGCTTGTAATAAAAAAAGAGTTTATCTGCTTCTACTCCACTCTCTCCTTCCCCTGCCATAAACAGGACACTCCTAGGCAGCTCCACAAGTGACAGGTTTTTTTGGGGGGGAGGGGGAATTTACTGCTCATTCCTCAGCAATCGGAGCAAGAGGCAGTGTTTTGATGCAGCTGCCCAAGCTGTGATGACATGGGGAGGAGGGGGAATAACGTGACAAAGACACTTTGCAGTTGATGGAAACCAGACCTTTAAAAGGAACAGAGGAAGGTTTTGACCTACACCCAGGCAGGGTTTAAAAGAGTGATCATAAGCCAGGAGAAAGTTCACTTTCAGAGGAGACTCCCTTAAGGGTAGCAAGGGCCTGAAGTGAAGCAAGGGCACAGAAAAGGTGAGTTAATACTGCTGTACTGTAGGATTTGCTATATGGTTCAGAGGCACCTTTGCCCCCTACTAAGAAGCTACACTGCCTGAGGTGGGGTGCAGCCCTCCATTCATTTAGTTATGCACTTCCTCCTCATTTTAAACACAGCAAACAAAATTAAAAGTGTCATGCACCTTTTAGTTGGACATAACTGGTCTGCATCCAACTCAAGTCCATTTAAAAAAAAAAAAAAAGCGACCACTGTCCGTGATGTGTGTGCAATCACGTGGGGGAGTCTCAGTGCTGGTTGTAGCAGAACGCTACTTACGTCACAAAACCCACCACCACACTTCACCCTCTCATTAGCAATCACAATAGCCTAAAGGATTGAATAGACTCTGGGGACTAAGCTCCCACTCACACTTCGGGTATGTCTACATGGGAGCTTGGGGTGTAATTTTCAGTTCCAGGAGACATACATGCACTAGCTCTGATTGAGCTAGTGTTCTAAAAATAGTAGCTATGGTGCCATGAGTGCTGGGACAGGCTAGCTGCCCCAAGGACATGCCTAGGTTTTAGACAGGATTGTACTTGGAGTGGCTAGCCTGTCATGCCACTTGCGCTGCCACAGCTGGGGAGCTAGCCCGCATTGCACTGACTCTGCAGCAGCAGCTCAGCTCCTCAGGTTTGGTCGGCAGCTCCTCCATCACCAAATTTTAGTGAGTGGTATTGCGCCAAGTCACAATACAACTCAGTTTGGGGGCCCGCAGCAAACTGCCCCCTTCTCTGGGTGGCCCTGGCTGCCCCAAGTTGTTGTTTGTTGAGTTATTTTTTTAAATACTTATTACAACTCTCGGTATTCTTGTCATGTCTGCAGATGTCAAATCCTTTTATTGAATGTGGCTAAGCTAGGATCCAGGTGTTGTATTGTGAACACCTGTCGGTTGAGAAGCAGAACCCAGATCGTTTCACACAGACAACTTGGCAGTCAAGTACAGTAAAGAGAAAGGAGTTAAACACAAATAACTTTTAAAAAACAGAGCATTTACAAAGTGAAATTAGGTCATCTTAAATTATGACCATAAATAGAAAGGAAGCAACATTTAATATTAAAACAAGAATTAACACCTAAAACTTGGAAATAGGCAATGGTTAAAGTTCAGAACAAATGGACAATTAATAAAATACCTATTACCAAACAATAGTGACATTTAAACACCAAAAAGTACTAAATGGGATTTAGTAAAGGGGCAGAGTGGATTATTTAAATATGGAACTAAGACATGTGCCTGTCATCAAATTTTAAATCAGCATAACAGCTAGAGCCTCCAGTCATGATTAAATCTTAACCTGCTAGGTGCCATGCAGACACATACAAAGACACGGTACCCGCCCTGGGGCAGAGACTGTTTCTTCTTGCATGTACAGCACCTAGCACATTTTGAGAATAACCACAAAATTAACAGTAATCGGAGGGTAACAGCTTTCTTTCATCCTGACCTCAGCTGGATTCAAACCAGTGATCTAGAGGGGACTGGCTCTGTATCCCACTGGCACCCCTGAGTTTTTTGGGGGGTGGGCAGTATGGGTATGGATCAGTAATAGGAGCTGACAAATCC